CACTGCTCCCCAGGGACATTAGCTAATGAAAGAATTACTACAAAAAGTGACGCTACCAAAATTTTCCTTTACAGGTATCAATGGTGACGACAGGAAAAAATCTTGATCTTTTACCTGCTGCACTAACTCAGAAATCAAACTAGCATGTTTCTTCTTTCAGCATTTTGTTATTTTCCATTAAGTGTACACAGCATTTTCAAGAGTACTATCATGGGTAGAGGTTCATAAGGGTGGAGATCTTGAGCAGTTAAGTTAGAGGATAATTCCTTTAAAATTAGTCTTATTGTAAATCTAAGTAATGGTTCAAGGCACCAAGTGAAATTGCATTGCATAATGCCAAGTTTTAAGGACACTGCCTCAGAGAACACTAATGAAGCTGTGGCACATCCCTCACTTCAAGTCTTCCCTTGCTGTACTGCACTTCCTCAGGCATTTGTAAAGCTGATAGTTCAGTATTCACCATTCAACTGAAGTCATAACTAGCTCTTCTCATTACACAGCTTTCTACAGTAGGGCAGTTAACTAGGTGATGATGCCAAAGTAGGACATCTGTGCTTGTAGCCAAAGAATTTGTCAAACTTCATTCCAACAGGAAGTTGGCAGAATGTTACATGTTAAGCCTGATTTTTTTTTTTTTAATATATGCAAAGCTATGAAAGAGTGGGAAGGAAACCTACAGATTTAATACTTTAGATAAAATATTTCTTAAATCTCTATTCCCCTGACAGGTGATAATTACCCATGTAAACACCCTAGTAGTCCAAAGAATTTAAGAGGAGGAAACCTTACTAAATCTGATTTTTTAAGAAGCACTAGCTAGGTAAAATACAGCTAGACAATCAATGCTATCTTATAAAAAAGAACAACTCCTAGGCCTCTAGCCTGGACAAACTATTTTCCTTCCCCTTTCCAACGTGTATTTGCATACATGTCTATGTGTGCATCACCAGCATTAATGAGTAAGAAAACCATCTGCTAGCTCCCGCATGCAGAGGCTCTGCCACTTCAGGCCCCCTCACACTGCAGAGCTGGAGGCAGGACAGCGGGAAGCTCCTTAGCCCCAGTTCACCTTGCAAGGGAGGAACGAGTACTGCATTACTGCCATCTGCAGTGTCCCCTTGGCAGCTACGATCCACAAAAGACCATGTCCATCATTCAAGCAGTCTAGCATCCACAGAGAAAAGCCAAAGAGATTTTCCTGTATCCTCCTGCTACCCCTAATAATCTAGGTAAAAAGCTGCCTCCTATTCAGCATCTTAAACAGCTCTACATCAGTTCAAGGATAGGCCATTGATTTGCCCACTCCTCTTTAGACAGAGAATCTTACTATACTTTCTTGTTAATGTAGAAGTCTTTTACACCACACTAAAAGATATTACTATTGAGATAATCCCACAATAAATTCACCTGTATTTTTTTTTTTTAAGGAGTTTTCCCAGGAGCAAGGGGAGGGGAAGCCACTGAGGATTTCCCCCCTCCCAAGCAGAGGCCAAGCCAACAAAACATGCACTGAATTTCCTTACCGCTATGAGCAAGTCAGTGACTCTTACATGCTGTTTGCTCCTCTGAGTTCTCCGTGTTTGGGAAGAACTGATCTTTCCAGGACAACCCAAATGAAAAAAAAAGTCATGGACAAGCAAGTGGGTAAGAAAAAAAAAAAAAACAAAAAAACAAAAACGAAAAATCACTCCAGGCACAGAAATCTGCATTTTCACTGGCTCTTAAATAGAAGAGAGCCAAAGTGCTTCCCAGCAGCAGCTTCTTTCCAAAAGAAAAGCCACAGAAGATGTTTTACCTTTTCTAAGATACAAATGGTTTTCACACTAAAGTTGCATAATTAAATGAAGCCCAAACTTCACAGGCTACCTGTAATACAAATAAGCCCATTTACATTGCAAATAAGCCATGAATTTTGCCACAGAGGGCACCATCTAATATGTGTAGGTATATTGCCCAGCAGACTGGGGTTCAGGTACCTAAGACACCTAGATGTGCCTTCAACATCAATGCTTACCCATCCCACAGTTTTAATATTCAGGTCAAATAAGATGGCAACACAACTGGCACCAGGTTAGACAAAACTAAAACTGCTATGACTTGTTTTGGAGGTACGGATCTGAAATTTGGTTAAGATATTTTGTAAATAGTTCAATAAAGTATTCCATAAAGCATTCCACAGGATGTTCTTCTTTTCAAAAAGGTATCAGGTAATAGGTTTTAATATCACTACCCATATAGAAAAACTTAAGCCAGCATTTTGCAAATCTACCTTTTAAATATATTTTATTTCAAGAAAACAGTAGGTGGCAACCCTTTTTAGGGATCAGAGAAATATATCCAATGACTAACAGACTAGTACAGAAGCAGTAGATCAGAGGTATGTGTCATGGCCCCAATCTACAACATCACACATTAGGATCAGAACAACTCCCTCTGAGTGGGAACACTCAGTTCAGCCACAATGTGAGAGTCCATCACCTAACCAACGAGGTTCCTTCCAGTTTTGTAACTAACAGGAAACAAACACTTTCAACCATCAATCTAGTGAACTACTTAAACATTTCTACAGAAGTCCCAAAAATGTACAGAGAGAACAAGCATCTAGGTCCTGGCACTGAGATCTCATAAATGACTCCCTCCACCTCAGTTGTTGCCCCAGAGGCAGCAAAGGCCTCAGACATCAACTTTACCTCTGCTAAGTATTGCCTCCAGGCTGATCTGATGAATATGTGAATTACAAAGTGCTTCACACAAAGTAGGCTGGGCATTTCTATTGGTTCACAGATAAGGCAGACACTCTTGATAAGTCTCTTTTCAAGTCACTGCCACACAGACATCTTAGTTCTTTTAAGGGGAGAAGCAACTGTCCAATGTACAAATGCCTTAGTTTTAAAACATACTACGGATACCCCTAGCCTCTGCCCCTTCTGCAGTGTGGAAGGAAGTAAAACCAGTCCCTTTAAACAACATCTTGGGAGAATCCAGTTACAAAAACTTGGCCTGAAACCCAGCTTGTGTCCAAGAAGAAGAGTAAAGGAGAAGGGAGTAAAGCAGTTTTTCCCCTCAAGTCACACACACTAACACTGAAAGATGCTGCTGAAGTTAAACAGGGCTGAATGTGGATAGAGTCAGAATTTTACTTGTAACATGAACAAGCAACGTTTACAGATACTTTTTTTCTAACTAAACATGTTTTCTTTATTTTGGTGAAGAGGTCATCATTTTGGCTCATAATAACACAAATGTTTCAGATTTTCTTTAGCTAAGGACATCTAAGGCACAAATCCCTGAAAATTTACACATCAGCTTTAGTCTTACTGCAAGGGTCACTGTCTGGTATTACTTATAACCTACAATTCTACTTTCATGTCCTGGGAAGGCAGGAAAGTAAAAGCACCAGTGTCATCACCCACATCTGTCTACTCCATTTTCACTTTTTTCCCTGGACTTTTTTTTTTTTTACAATCAATTTTTAGTTGCAGAAATGCTATGACTGTTTGCATTGATCACTTAGCAAGGTGAAAGAGGATTAAGAATTCATAGACTGGCAGCATAAACTAAGTCACTGGATACCCCCCTTATCATTTTGATTTGGGAGACCCTCTCTATAACATCATCCTTTTTTGCCTGGCTATATAGTCACCAGCACTTCCAACTTACCACCCTAGACAGATGCATTTTTTTGTTTGTCCAATCCAAGACATTAAATGCAAAGATGCAGTGTACCTGCAATACTACTGGAATGCAAACCCATTCCCTTTCTCACCATCACCCAAAAGACAGCTTAAAAAAACCTGGAGCACGAAATGACTTTCCTCAATTTTCCCCCAAAGCAGAAAATGGGAGACTACCTGCCAGAAGTACATAAGGAGCTTTCTGCAGCAAAGCATCTGTCCATGTCTTTCATCCATTGTTGTTGTGAGCCATGATTCACCATTTGTTAAACAGCAGTATGTTTAAGTTTCAAATAGTGTAATCCACTTTATTAAAATCTTATGAAACCAGAACAGGTAGGGCATTCTAACCGTAGTTACTGCCATCTTATTTTTGTCTCCGTCATCTTTAAGTGGCTCTGCATGGCTTTTTAAGTTCAAACTTTTTTAGAGGCGAGCTTTATCTTATGGCTCAAACAAGATCCTAGTTAGAGGGCAGTCACCATCCAAGTGATCAGCTAGCAAACCCTGCTGTTTCATGAAGAATGGGCTGGTTGGAACGATTGCCTTCAGGCACCAACACCTGTGAAACATGTTCAAAAGTCTGCATTCCCTGATAAAATTTATTTCATCTCCTCTTTCAAGACTTCAGAGCCCAAACAATTGCTCAAATGAATATCCTCACTCTTCTGATCATGGAATAAAACAGTAGATGAGAAGAAGTAACTTAAGATTTCTGCTTTTAGAAATTCAGGAAACTGAATTTAGTAAACAAGAGGTGCAGGAGTTACAACACAAACGAAAAACCAGGAATCCCAAATATTAGAGACCTAGAGACTAGAGCCCTAGGAGTCCAGTAATTCATAGGTAACCAAAATAGTTGTTTCAGCATTTGATTTTAAGGATTTGTAAGAGAAACAAGACACTAGTAGCCTAAAAAAGGGAGTATTGATAAGCAAGTTATACCATCTTCTTTGAGAAAGTAAGGAGGAAGCACACAGTGCAGTGTTCAGACTACATGCAATATTGCATTTCTGCAACTCAAGCATACAACACAATTTCTCAGTTAAAACAATTCAAGCTCACATCTAAAATGTTATCAAGCACATAAAAAAAATCACAATTTTCTATACTTAATCATGATCTACCTCTCTAGATTTAAACAGACCACAAAGGACTAACCATCTGCTACATGATGAAGTCCTAGTCTATTCTATTGACATTAGCAGAATGCTTAAGTTACACTTGGAAAGGGCAAGTTACACTTGGAAAGGGAAAACATATCATGCATCTGATCAACAAGTCAAAACACTTCAGGTTCTTTAAATCATAATTAACACTACATACCTTTATGGTTTTAGTTTGAAGTCTCAATCCATTCAGAGTGTTGATAGCTTTTTCAGCATCCTTGGGGTCAACGTAGTTCACAAAACCATAACCCAAGCTCTGTCCTGATTAAAAAGAGGAACAAGAGTGATCGTTAGTACTGCAGTGCTACACAATGGATAACTAACAGTGTTTAAAACCTATATAGACACACAGAGCAAAAATTGCTTATATTAAAGAACCGTATCTGCCTCAGATAACAATGTTTCAAAGGCCGTAACACCTAATTTTTCCAGTAAGGTTAGTTGTTTTAAACTAGCTTCCTCTGTTCCCATGGACTCTCCTAAGTTCAACACAGAAATGGCTACAGCCATATTAATGAAAGACTTAAAAATTGCTATGCAAAATAGGTTCAGGAGTTTGTTATGATCTGTTGGAGACTAGAGGAAGTGGAGGAGCTTCAAGGTTAAGACAACATCAAAAATCCACTACTCACTCACTTTTGAACTTTTTAATTAACATAGAAAGTATAACGGCAAAATTCTGGAACAGTGCTTGAAAATGAGTATTTCAAATATACTTCAGTATCAGAATTTGAGCCACATTTGAAGCCAAACATTTCTACAGATGTTATTCACTCACTAAACAGAGCCTGTCAGTAATAATGAGTTTAAAGGCTCATTTTATTCCTATATTCAAAACAACTGGTACAAGTAACTGGTCATGAGCTAATATCATCCAACAGAGATGCAACATTTTCAGGTTCTTTTAGCACTGGTAATTCAGATGATAGATGGACATAAAGCATTTTTAACTAGCTCTTAATCACTGAACCACAGCCTATTTCTAACAGTGTATTCTGTCTAAGCACTTCTTATGAAACACTTGAGTTTAGCAGTAGTCATCTCTTGACAACTTCAAAACCTGAAGTACACCATTCTTAACTAGCTGCCTTAAGCATACCCCTTTAAAAATATTTAGTGCATAGGAACGCAAATAGGTAGAAAAATTTAACATAGCAGAAGGATACCACTTAGTAAGAATACCATCCTTCATTAGCACAGAACTTTTCAGAAACTCTCCCATACTCCTTGATGACTACTTTTTTTTTTTTGAAACTGAAACAACGAGGTCCAAAAGCCAGCCAACACACCAAAGGGAAGCATCCAATATATCTAATTCACAAAATGCTAGTTTGAAATATTAGCTTGGAGATACAACAATATAAAAGCATAAACAATATTACATAAAGCACAAATGGCAAACTCATTTATTGCCAGGAAAGACATAAAAGAACCTACGCTGTATCAAGTTCTTGTATGGTATCTATACAGTCTGTATTAAACAGTAAATAAAGCAGAAAACGGATGGGAAGTTTGTAATTGATTAAATAAGACAAGAGAGGGTTTAGTAACAAGCCCACCACTGCTGGCATTCATGATTTTGTACAAGTTAGTCCACCATAGCACCAAAAGTTAGAGGACACCACTGCCACCCCACCCCCCAAGTGACCCCCATTCTTCCCAAAACAGCACACACAAATTGGCTAGATGAAGCCATGAAAAGGTTAATATATGCAAAGTTATTAAAGAAAAACATCCAAAACCCTACTGGACAGAGTCCTGAGCAACCTGCTCTAGACAACCCTGCTCTGAGCAGGACTACATGATCTCCAGAAGTGCCTCCAACCTCAGCAATTCTTTGTTTCTGTAATAAACAATACGAAAATAATCAGAAGCATTTCTGTATTCACTTACAGTTCTACCTAGATACAGCTAAGTTCCTTATCCTAGAAGTGCCTTTTTCCTTATTAGTCTGATTACAGTAGAGCAATTTCTATACCTGTCACCTCCATCACTCCCACTGTCTGCAGAAACTCTTTCCAGCAACATCTCCAAAAAAGAGCAATTTAAAGGAATGTCTCTTCTTGTGCATGGCTTTTATTTTAGTCTTATCTCCTAATACAGAAATGCTGATTTTGGTGTTATTAATCTCCTAGGAAGCAACCCATTTAAACCACAACCTTAAAAGGAGTTAAAACCTCTAAGAGAAAGCTTTTTCATGTAAGACATTCCCCATACACTCACCAATTCCAGAGTGAACAGAAAAAGATATGCAGAAATTATTTCTACTACCTCTCTTTTCATATGATCTATTTTTCATATTACAAACACCCAGACCACTGCAGGCAAAGAGCACACCCAGCTGTTACAAAAGATATCATTCATGACCAATTCTTCTGGAGACATTCTATTAGTTAAGCTTGATAAATATTAGTAGACTAACTTAGGAAGCTACACAAACAAAATCCAGTAATTTATTCAGGACAAGCTTGAACTCATTTCTGCAGGTTTATTCTGCAATTTTGCAATTAAAAAAAGCTTTCACTGTGAGGGTGGTGAAATGCTGAAGCAGGCCACCCAGAGAGGTGGTGAAGTCTCTATTCTTGGAGACACCCAAAGTCTGACTGGACGTGGTCCTGGGCAACCTGCTCAGGGAGAACCTGCTTGAGGAAGGGGAGTTGACTAGATTATGTCCAGAAGTCCCTTCCACCCTCAATGACCCTGTGAATGATTTCTTTTATTTAATTCAGTTTTGTTTAATTTGGGCTATCATCTAAAATTCAAAGGTGTTCAGATCTGACATTCCAAAGGCCTTATCTATTTGAAAAGGTTAAGAAAAAGTAAAACTTCTTAAAGAGATTGAAATTTTGCCTGAAAACTAGTGGTTCAATTACACATTATCAATAATTCAGTCAAAAAATCACTTTCTTCACAGAAGCACATAAGAAAGAAATCTTGGCTCTCAAAAAGCAATATAAATAATTGGAAATTGAACCTGATTTCTGGACTCAGATGCTGGAGGGACCACTCTAAGTCTTCCTGCTTGTCTTAAGGGAAGATGCTTGTTTAAGAGGTTGGCCATCTGTATATGAACTGGCAAAGTTCTAGAAAATCCAGACAAGCATTTCACAAAATGCAGTCTTCTACTATTCAAACCATTCAGCTATTTCAAATGACCCATCAGATATCTCAATTATTGCAAAGTATGTCTGACAGCTGTTGGTATTTCTCAATTGGTGGGAAGTGCCAACTGGGTTACAAGAATTTAGAAGCTCAGTTCTTCCTAAGTGTTTCATTGATGTACAGGACTTCAGTCCAAGCTTATGCTAGTACCACTGCGGCTGTACAAGCCAGAGAGAAGTCCCATCTGATTGTGGATTTCAGGTGGAGAAAAAGCAGCATACCCATTGCACACAAATTTTATTCAAATAAAATGAGATACCTGGCCAGTATAATTCAAACAAATTCTCCTTCTGTGCAGCTTTTTCCCCCTCCTCAATGTCTAAGCATTTTGCTTTCAAGACAAACCAAGTAGAAGCTATATGCACTTAAACCAAATCAGCCACCACTTCGAATATTTAAAAACAGGAACTTCATTCTTTATTAATTATAATGACTAATTTGTATTGCCTGAAGCCAAAGATTAAACTCAACACTGTCAGAAAACAGCTCTGAACTTTTCCATCTGTGCCTCTTCTACACCAAACTCCATTCACCAAGGGAAATCTCCTGCAGAACACACATTTGTTTCCAAGTCTAGTAAGACACATAAAGTACATTATGTGTCTAAGTCCACAACAGAGTGATGCAAGACAGAAGGTATACCTATGGCTGTCCACAAGTTAAATAATCCTCAGATTTAAATGTATATCAAAAAGCAGCTTAGTCTCCTACTGTTTTAAGACAGGGTCAGCTTCATCTGGCTCTTGCCTCAGCTTTGTTTTTCCAACTTCTGCTTAATGACACTATAGTCTGAAAAACCTCTGACACATCTCCAAGGGAGCTGTCCTGGTGCTCTGTCTACTGTTATGTGGTAGGTATTCTGAATATCCAGTTTAGCCTTTCGTAGATCTTCAGAATTATGGACTACTCAACCTCAACACAGAAAAGACTATCTGTGCACATCAGCTATTTATTCCATAACTCAGACCTATAAACAGTATTAAGTTTAGCTTAGCCTAAAGAAAGGAATGACTGAGTTTCTTATTTTTGTGAGTTACTTGTGCCAATAACAAGAAAACATTCACCACCTTCAAGGGGAATACTCCACTTATTTGCAGAGGTGAGCAATACTTCAGAAGTTACATGCTCAAACTATCAGTTGAGCTTCTCCTCAATAGTTCTTGTGGCTGTTTCACAGCACTGTTTAGAAGCTGTTTCTGTACGCTTTCTACTAGATTTTATGCTTCGGACACTATGAATATTAGACAATGTGGTGCAGAATAAAACAACAGTTAGATAAATGATTGGTAAAAGAAGAATTCACCTGAAGTAGAAAAAGTCAAAATGACAAAATGATCTGGAAGGAATGAGGACATAAATAAGGAAAAGCTGTTTGACTTGAATTTTGCTTCAACAAAATCTGATTAAAAAACAAAACCTACATAGCAGTAGAAGTGTATCTCATAAGCCTGTAAGACAGCAAAGGACTTAAAGCAAAGGTTATGATTTGAAAGTTTATATTCATTGATTACATTTTATGTTTTATGTAACTGACACTTGCAACAAAGTCAAATTCAAGCGTAAGTGGCAAAAAGTCCTTTCAGTCAGGCATCTCTTTGAACCTAGGCATGCTATATCCACCACTAAGTGGGTCACTAACAAATGTTCAACCTCTATGTATGTGGCCTACGAGAAAACGTGAACTGGAAAGCACTATTTCCTTAATAGGGGAAACTGTTCTGTTTATGTTTCAAGTTTATGAGCTTCATAAATATCACTTTGCCACCACGTATGATGATGATGCGAATTAAAGACTAATTTATTAGATAATGCCATGTTACTTTTTGGCATTACAGTCAATATACAGAATGGATTTTGAGAGGAAAGGGGTAAAAAGTAATTTCAAACAATTTAATTCTAACCAGTCTTTGAAAGGACTACTCAAGAGACTGAGTGGAGATCCATGTGCACACTAGAAGAGCGTAGAGAAAACTTATTTAAGGTTAAATTACAAGTAAAGAACAGTGATTCAGTATTTAGGGAAGAAAAGTAGACAGACTTACAAGCACCGGTCAGCGAAAGACCAAAAAAGATTCAAGTAAAAAGAAGGGAAATAAGCA